AGTCCTCATCCCACCCAGGAAAACTCACCACATGAAGCTCTTTTAACACAGATGCTTTCCAGGGCTGCTGCTCAGAGGAAGGCAGAACCCCCTGCTGAGCACTTCTCCTTCTACCTTTTCTTCATGCTCTTACCGTGCACCTTGCTGTGCTCCCTGGTTTAGGCAGTCATCCAAAAATAGTCGGTAGCGATGCACGTCTGTGAGATAAAATTCAGCGTGTGCTGTGCTGTTGTGGAGGTCTCGAACCTCGGTACGTGGGCGGTGTTCTGGAGAACAACGAGTGCAAGGAACAAATTGAATGGCTTGTCTTTCACCCAGAGAGGTCCCAGATCCGCTAAATATCCCTGGGAAGGGCACCACAAGGTAAAATTCAGTAAGTTTTTAATATGTCTCAGCAAAAAAAAAAAAAAAAAAGGAATTTCGAGTTTTATTCATTTGTAACTACAGGGGGGGATTTAAGGCATACTGAGCAAATAATCAGACTGGAATTTGCCTTAGAAACTGGGGCTAAGACCTGTGAGGTTTGTTTGCAAGAGGGAATTTGCATCCAGGCAAGATCCTTTCATTCAAGCTCTTTATATTCAGTGGTTGGAAGCGGCACGTCTCAGTGACCTGTTGGCTTTATTTCCCCAGCAGTCGCTGAGCCCCTGGGGCAGGATTTCCTCTTCCAACACACCTTCAGCACTGCAGGCAGGTGCACAGCGGCACCCTGGGTTCCACAGCACGTGGAAGGACTTACACACCCAGCAGCTCCTCTCCTGACAGCCCTTCACGGCACGCACGTGAGAGGATGTGACGGTGCTTAGGAGGTTATTGATGGCTTCCCATGTGAACCGGCAGCCTTGTGACTTCATCCACCTCACCCAGGGGCTGGAAATAGAAGGGGGTTTCGCCGCGCTTCCCCACTCCTTGCTCCGTCGCAGGGCTCCTGGCAGCAACGTGGGCTGCTGTGGGAAAGTTCTCGGTGCTCGGGCTTGTTTTCCCTGCGGGGGGAAGAAGCAGTGAGTCAGCAGAGCTAAAGTCGTCTGTCCCTGATGTCAGCGCTTCCCTTTTGACTGTCCGATGCTGCTCCAATCTGGTGCAGCTGGTGAAACCTTGTGCTGGGCACTTGGGCTGTAGGGCGAAACCATCCACCCTCAGGACAGCAGTGAAGACTTGGTGCTCCACGGCAGTGCAGTGGGACTCTTGGAAATTGGGAGGTGGATGGGCAGCTAGGTGGATAGATTTAAAGTAGTTGGGTAATGCTCAGCAGCCTGCAGAGGGCCAGACCCTCTCGGGGGCATTCGAATCCAGTACAAACAGCTCCATAACGAAGAGGATTTGATGATATTCTTTCTTCTTCCAATCTAACAGTCAGTGGCTGTTGGCTTGTCTCAGTGTCCTGCCCTCCACCTGCTGCAGGTGGGCTGCTGTCTTGCATATCCCGCAGCGTTGTGTTTTAATTTTAATTTTATTTTTGCGAGTGTTGCCACGAGGTGGAAGCTGGGAGTTCCATGGAAGTTCCCCACGGAAGCTGCCAGCCCTACCCAGATGTACAACTGGTGTAAAAAGGAGGGGGGGGGCTCCCTGAAAGCCAAACCACCAGCAACACAAAGGAAAATGTGGGAGTCCTCCACTTGTACATGGGCATGTGCAACAGAAATGCAGTTTCTTACCATTTTTTGGTGAAGCTCATGGGCTGCCAGAGCTGGGGGCAGAGGGAGGGCTGGGGCTGGAGACGCGGGGGCGATGCTCACTGCTCCTCCTGGCACTGCCGCCTGCTCGACCTGCTCCCTGTCCTGACGCTGTTTTTCTCTGCTCCACTCAGACTGCAAATGGCTATGCAAATTCCTGAATATTTTCCTACTTCCTTTTTCAGATGTCTAACATTATGTATTATTTTCTGATACTTACCTAAACCGGGAAATCTGTTTTCCATCTCATTTCAGCCAAGGTTTTCTTTTT